CACGTGAAATTAACAGTTCAATTACTTCAAACCAGGAACGTCATACCTATAAACTAGTTCTAATAAAACGGGAACGAGTTTTTTTTTATCGATTCCCATCCTGTTCACAATAACAGTAATTTTCAGAAGCATTTTTCCCGGTTCACATCATTTTTGTTCACATGAATAACTGTAATGATGTTGTAACACTGAAAATGAATATGTAGAAAGTTAAGAATATAATTATATGTCCATAGCTTGAATGTTAGACAAGAGCATGCAAGTTTGGTGTAGTTGGCCTAATTCTGAACCATGTAAAATAAAGAGTTGATAATAATTATTTCGAGTTTATAGAATTGTAAGTGTGAGTCAGAGCTCGTAATACCCTAACATTGTGAAATTGGACACAGTTAGTTGCATACAGATTATCTTGTAGACTGTAGACTTTCGTAGATTATTATATTTATAGACTGCATCGAAAAAGAAAGAAAAATATTAATAACTTATATTATATTCGACTCACTTTCTATATTTTATATTTTCCACTCTTATCTTACATCTTACATCTAACTAACATCACATTTACCATATAATGCCGATTATAAATCCACTCAACTCGGTAGATGAAAAAGAGAATAAAAAGGGTTAAAAGGTGAAAATCTTATATTATACAAGAAAAAACATCGATTCAAAATAACTAAAATCTATTTTAAAAGTATTCTGAAATATTCGAACATGAAAATTTTGCTACGAAAAAAATTTAATATTGCTGCACTAATATATAAAATAAAATGGAATAAACCGTTTATGGAACTAAAACAATTACCAGCGATAAATCTTCGGTCATACAAAATTAAGTATGAAATAAGTTGAAGATGAAATGAAAACGTACCTGAAAGCAGCAAGAAGCACCGTTTTACCGAAAACAGGCAATTTTCTTTGATCGACTTTCTTTACAACATCTATAGCCACTTCAAGCATCTTTATTTTTTTAGAATACAGCTGATCTTTACAACATATAACACTGAACACTTACTAGTGGTGCGTATTATACATGCTTGTGCAATATGCTCGCAATTATACAGTACTTACTTATAGAGAAGTCTTTTGTTCCTCTCCCCTCACCTCCCATCCCCACCCGGGTTAAAACACTACATCGATGGGTTAATAACATGCAGGGCTTAGTAGTTAGTAAGTGTTAATTGGGTGGCTTTGTTTGTTGGGGAGAATAAAAAAACTTACGCCAACTTCTGGATTTGAACCTGAGTGAAGTAGATTGCCTATCTTACTAAACTGTGGCCCGACAACTTTACAACGACGATATCCTTTGTGTTTGGGGAATTGTGTGCAAGCAACTTTCTGGCTGACAAAGACTTAAGGCCTGATCAAATCAGCAAACCATCGTGCGAACCATTTCACATAAAATAGATGGATGAACTAAATCAATCGACCACTTTCCCTCTTTCACTAAAACGTATTGTCAAGGGAATCCTCACTATTCTACCAAGGTTGGTGTATTCTACGAAATGTGTCTAAACTAACCATATCCAACCGAAAACTACCCTCTATGTATTTACTTGTACTTACTTTTTTCATGGGAAGAAATCCTCAACTTGCAGGGACAAAATATTTTCTATTACAATTACAAACCAAAAAAACAAAAATCAACGAATACAGTTTTCAATGTTACCAGACTAACTGAAAACTTAAGACGAACACAGAAAAAAACAAACAATGACAAATACGTAAAGAAAAAAAATTCCCAGAATGTCCAACAGTTTTCAGCTCCCGTTGTTGTTGTACTGCTTGGAAGATGCCATGGTAACATAATAAGCATAATCTGGATCTATTATCTGATACACGTTGAACGTCATTCCAAAACTCAAAAAATAAAGGAGTGAAAGAAAAAACAACCTGCCTGGAGAATGAATGAAAAGAGACCAAATTGACCTTTTCATGCTGAGAGAGGGAAGAAAATAAATACCCTTTTATTCATCCATTCCTTCCTTTCTTCCATCCTCTTTCCTTACGGGTATTGATAGATTTAGGAAAATTCCATGCAAGAAATAAAAAAAAAGGAAATAGAAAAAGTAAAAACACCTTTCTTTTGAAATCATATTTTCTTTATTTTGTAGAAGGAACCGGATACAAACAAAGCCAGTATCACAAAAGATGTACACAATGAAGATGAAATTTCATACAAATAATAACTATATATATATAAGAGAAACATGCGTCAATGATGCAAGTCAAATGGAAGCTAAACCCCTATATTCACCATGCTTTAAGCAAATTTCATAGGCGTTCGTATCGGAATAATGTCCGTGGTCATTTTGACGTTAGTCTCCATCATCCAGTCCCTCTTTGTCTACGGACAGCTGCGACGACTGGTGTCCTCGTCGTAGACAGGAGAGGTCTAGGTGTCAGAGACTATTTTGACATCAGTTGTGTTGAGAATTCGAGTCAAGGTCAAACTCATATTTGATATTTGCGTTCAGTCTTTTTGCTTTTTGCGTTCACAACACTGATAGGCGATATTGCTGTCAGAAATTTGCTATATTCACCAAAAATTGATAAATAATATCATGCATATTTCAATCGCGAACAACATCGATTTGATACGGAAACAACTCTGGATGTCCTTTATGATAGACCCTATCAAAAGCTTTATTATATGTTGTTGCAAGCTTTACTGCAAATACATTGGTGTAATCGTGCTGCGTCAAGGTGTTTTTGAATTTAGCATTCTTATAACCCAAATTTAATCATATCTTAGACCTTATGAATTTACAAAAGAAATATCGAAAAATTGTGATTGGAATGAAAATGGTTGTTTTCGAACGAATAAAAGCGTTTGATGTTATAACGTTAACATAATACAGGAATAACGCCAGGCTTATGACGGCGCCCTGTCTTACACCAATGTCTTTACAAAATTTACTCTTCAAATATGCAATATATAAATGATATCAAATAGAAACACAATATCGAATCGTACCATAGTACCTCAAATAATTCAGAAGAAATCGTCTCCGCCGAACACTTGGTTAATGATTCACGATGCATGGAACCCGGTTTCGCAAAATATCCCAATTTTTATGGTATTTTCAAGATAATTTGATAATATCAATCAAGAAAACTCATTCCCTGTACTTACATTTTGGCTAGATTTGACATTGAACATTTTGAATTAGGCTAAGAATGACCTTGAGAAATTCATAATCGAAGTTATATACAAAATATACGCATACCCACCGTGGTTGAACCGAAAGAAAAGTTTTTACCTTACCTTAAAGTAATAAATTACTATATACAAAATATATACACGAATATATACCGAAATTTTCTAAGATTCCGAAATACTTTTTTGGTTTTTTGAATTAAAATTGATGAAATGTTTCCAAATTTTCATTGAAATCGTTCACCGAATTTGACCAATGCACAAAATGTTTATGTATGTGATTAGTCGTGCCCTTTCCGAGCCTTCGTTATTAAAATGTTAAAATCAAATGTCCCTCTATATTATACAGTTGGTTAGTAAAATTCGTCCCCTAGTTTAGGATATATGCACTATCATCACAGAAGCTTTCTATTATGAGGTCAAACGGGTTGTCAAGCGCCGCCATTTACTATTCAATGACCGCCCATTTCTAAATATGCAAATTATGCTTTGGTATCGCTGCTTATGATTGGCTGAACGGCAATTTAGTGCCACCAATCATAATACTCTAACTTCTCATAGATCCAATCAGTGTAGCTGGTGACTCTCGTGAAAACGTTCGGGAATCCTCGTGCTGAGCAGTTGTTGATGAGCCATGACATGACTCCAGTGACGTAATACCTTCCATCCAGCTCGCACATCAGCGGACCACCGGAATCTCCCTGAAACGATATGACATTCGGAAATTTCAGGCACCTCCTACCAACAAGCCGAGTGATCTAATTGGATGCTCTTAGTGAACTTTGACCTGTTAGTCTGTCATTCAATCTTATGCTAAAAGTCTATTGGTTAGAACGCTAAAGTGTTATCCTATCAAAAATCTATATTCGGTGTGAAAAACATTGAGGGTGGGGCTATAGAAATTTGAACAAGAAGCATTCAAGTTTTTAAAACCCTCTTTTTCTTGAAAGCAAAAGTAATTATTGACTGGATAACTGAGAGTTAAAAGACTAGTATATCGAGACTAGAACTAAATTGGGGGTCTACTTATTCAGAATAATCCTCGTAGTATTGGCTGGACCTACAAAAATATGCATGCCTTGAAATCAAAGCTGTATTAGTAACGAAGAAGCATCGGTGTAGGTATATGTATCCTGATAACAACTCAGATGTTTCCCAAAAACTTAATCAAGATTAAAAGAAATACAAAGCTAGGTAAAAAACCGTTCTTTTTGATTGACCAATCAGATGATTGGAACACTAAAATTATCTTAAGTGAAGTTTTGTGAAACAGGCCTTAAGCTTGCTCAAGGAGATTCACTTCTTCAAAGGGAAGTAACTAATATTTGAATTTGTTAAAAGCATGCTGTGTGTTTCTACAGGCGAACTAAGTTCAGATTAATAAAGCAGCTCCTCTTACATCATCGCAATGTCAAGGTATAAGAAACCCTGTCTTATATTACAGAGTTCGCAATACCCTGACATTGTGATGATGTTCCTCCAACTAAACATCTTTTACTAGTCGCACGATGCAACATAAAGTTAGATTTCCCTCAATATTAAACTAAAAGTTTGGTACTCACCGACAAGGCTGTTACAACATGCAAAACCCTGGAAACTCCAAAATGCACACGCGAATTCATTATGTTAAATCAGTCTGATGAAATTGTGTGCAATGTGGATGTCTGTGTTTATAGTATATGGTCATGTGCAAGTAGAACGTGTGTGTGTTAACATGTGATGTGTTGTTCTGACCATGTTGTGAATGGCATTTGAGAAAATGCTGATGTGTACGTGGAACGCATATGTGTTTGTGCTTTCCTGGATATGTGTTGTGTTGCAAAGACTTGTGTTGTTATGTATATGTGTTCGTTCAGTTGTACTGATCATGTGCTACTTGTATATGTGTTGATTTGTACATGTGTTATGTTGTTCTGATCATGCGTTACTTACATATGTATCCTTTGTACATGTGTTTCGTTGTAATGACCATATATGTTACTTGCATAAGTATTGCTTGGTACATGTATTTTGTTGTCATTATGTGTTCTAGATGTGCTGTATTGTTATGTACTGTGTCATGTGCTACTTGATACTCATATATTTTAAGTTTACCCATTTTCAGCTTCTTATATAGCAACGAGTAACACTCTTTACATGGAACATAAAGCCCAAAGACAAAAAGACCTGCAAACAAAGATTCGAGCTCCAGACAGAAAAATTCTGAAATGAACAATTATTAGACAAAAACTTACAGAAATTTGCTTTGACAATTTGGACATCATAGTTCCAATTACCACGAGGTTACATAACAACCAGTAGACTGTACACGTAATGACATATTTTCTAGACCATATTGAGAAACATGTATGCCATTTGATTTTGAATTTCTGTGCCTGCTGGGCCCAATGAAGACGGGCAACGCTTAGCAGTGTGCAATCAGAAAAAAAAAATCTGAATTTTTTAAGGACAGTGACATTAGAATAATATTTTCTAGAAATCTTAAACGTGCATGTACAAATTGTAGCACACGGGGTCTTGGTTTTGCCTATTGCCAATTCATGAAGATTGCCCTGTCGTTACCCGACTTCCGTTACGTGTGCGTATACGTTAACGAACTTTATGGCCTTATGTTTCTAGATCCAGATGTTAGTTGATAAACAGTGACCGTAATCCTACGACCATATAGACCAAAATTTGTTTGAGAAATCCAAAATTGAATTTTGAACGAATGGAATTTGACGGAGAGGTAAGTGGATTACTGACACCGAGTGTTAATGATTTAAAGATGGTTATAAAGTGTTATTGTGTTAGAAATTCTCTTGCCCAATGGTTTCATTGTATACCTAAAAAGAAAGGTGGGGCGCGGGGGGTAGGGGTTGTACCAAAGAACACTCCTAGGGGATACCAAGGACACAAGAGGTATGTGAACGACCTTCAGTACAATTTGAAATCGTAGACTTTAGGAATATCCGCAGTGTAATTAGACTTTCAACTTTTCATTTTGCTAATAGGTGGGGAGGTGGCTACAAGGGGGTACCAAGGGTGTTGCAGAAAGGGGGAGCGAGGAGTCAAAAGTTGCAGAACCAGATACCAAACTGATTTGCTAGGCTTTTTTTTTAAATTAGAGCTTGGATAGGTGTAACGCATCCAAAAGAAAGATATGGGGCGTTGGATTTCACAGCGGAAGGGGTCAACATTTTGAAACCATTGGTAAAGAGAAGATTAATGTTAATTTGTTGATGGTTTGGGTTAATTAGTTGTTAATTTGTTAGTTTGCGCTACAGCATATTAAAATTAGTATTTGTGTTATCAAGTGTTAGTTTGTAGTAGTTCTTTGGGGTAGGTTGTCAATATTTTAATTTTGGTCGACATTTTTGAGTACATCAAGCGGATGTAGGGTCACAATTTTTTTGCAAATTGTCGGTTTGGGAAGTACTTCAATAAATAATACTTTTGCCAACCCGAAATTTCCGAATATACAAAATAAAAAAAACTTTTCTAATAATGACCATCCAGAATAAAATAGTAAGGAATAATGCGTGTGTATCTTAAATGACGACCAAAATTAGAGGATCTGTTAATATGTGACTAAACATCGGGTTTAGACCGCAATAGCCAACATGTACGGAAAACCGCCGCAATCTATCTACATGCAGAAACCTTCGAATACATGCATTACTGAAACAAATGATCATTCACATTACATACAACATACATATATTTCAACTGTTCCCACCATTAGCTCACCACGAGTTATTGCCCTTGTTCAAAACCAAAAAGCAGTAACAATCACTATTACCCGAACTTAAAAAAGAAAAATTCAAATCTTGAACTCCAAACTTCGACAAGTCTCAATGCAAGTTCAAATCAGAAATGAAAACGTAGACTTACAGTCTACACAATTCATACAAAATACATACCAACTACCTCATACCACAAGGCCCTCTGTTCTCGCCACCACAGTCAGTACTTACGTAACAGGCCCCTGTGTCTCCGTATCCAACACAAACTTGATCATCTAAAACATGGATACCGACTCGCCTCCACATGGACGAGCATAACCAGTTCGGTAAAATCTCCACCTGCAGTTCATTCATGGAATTTTCTTGACCACCAGTTCCTGAAAGTGTTATCCAGAAAACGTTACTTTACATCAAAAGTTATTATGGACTATGGTTTCTCGAACATAAATGCCGAATGAGCCAAAAAGAGTCATTAATTAAGTGTCATTGACAAAAGGATGGACTGGTCAATCCTTACCAACGTCGCAGAGTAGAACCTCAGTTGGTCCTTGCTTGCTTGCTTCACTTACTATGGTACCATGGTAGTGGAAACGGATTGGAAGCAAACGCGAACCCCTTGATGAGATATTTTTAAAAAAGAAAACAACTTACCTCTGGTCTCTCCCCAGCCACTGAGCCAACAGTTAGCACTGGGAGGAATCTCGGCATGTAGATCGGGTAAACAGGCTACCCTGGATTCTCCGGTACTCGTATCCACTGGCTCGTCCATTTGTAACAGAGCCACATCGTTAGGGAAATTACTCGTTCTAATGTACCCGGGATGCTGTAATTAAAGCAGTGATAATCAGACGGTAATACGGTAATGGGACTGTGCTTTGGTCTGTCTCCAGTCTAAAATGTCTTATCATTTTACAGGGGAAATCCCGTGTGCTGTTAGTCCCCATTGACAATTTTTGAAAAACCACCTAATGATTGTCTAAAACTATCATGTAAGTTCTTACCGCAACAATTCTGGATATTTTTCTGTAAACTTCTCGTCCGGAGCCTTCATTTAAATTATCTTCAGCTAAAACTATTCTCCAGTTTCTCAAATCACCGTAAAAAGGACTGAAACACAACAGCAAAAAGATTTAAATCAAATGAAGTGGTGTTATGTCTTACCTATTTGCATCTGATCGGGCTAATGATTACCGGAAACGACATGCAGTGTGCAATTAGGAACACAGTGTTACAAATATAGCAACTATTGCTTCGACAACAAGAAACATAGGGAAAGTGACTTTCTCAAGGTCACCACACTTTCTAACGTCGGAAGAGATTGTAACCCGTGACCGGCATTTTTTTACGTAACCAAGCGACTGTGCTACAGCTCGTCCTCATTATGGTACACTTAGGGACTTTATATTAATCCACCTACCCTTCTACACAATGGGCTGCTGTTAAAACCCAACTGGGGTGTATCAGAACGCCCCCACATCGATGCCAAGGTTCAATAGCGGCTATAATCTGTAGAGACACCTGCCACGGCCAGCGGCCAGGGGTCGAGGGTTTGCCTCCAATAATCATTGGTGTCGGTAATATACCACATTTATCTGGAATAGATATCAGAGAATACGAAATGAAATGGGTAATTATATGATATGTGGATTGACACATGTTAATACCATATAAACAGCATTGGCTAGATGAAATGTCTGAAAGGGATGTCGATTTGACCGACCCCATAGCAGAGATGCATAAAATATATAATTTGGTTAAAAGGAATGTATAGCAAAGTGGTAATATCATTAGCATACAAAAGTAAAGAGTAGGGTCACAGAACGGAACCCTGCATCACGCCGTTATGATCTCAATTACACAAATTTGACAATGAAAAAATTGAAATATGTTGGACACAAATATTTTCTCTACTCTTGTATCTTTTTATGTTCCTTTTTCCTCTCTTTGGCAGAGTTTCAAAGTTCTAACTTCCATCCTAAAAGTATGACGAAAATGATCGAAAGGACTTTATGAATCTTTTTATGGTCAGAACCCGAAATCTCAAACTATAACCACAATTTACGGATGCCTGTGGTCTGTATTGTCCGACATTGTTTGCTGACAGGTTTTCAAACACAAAAACACTTGCCAAGTGTCCTACCCAAGAATTTCGACTTCAACACTGATACGTACAACGTTCTTCTGTCTAGGGATGGGGTAAATAAAATATTACCGATGCAACGACGGTTGGTTTTGTTTTGTGAGTAAACATACAGAAGATACGTCAGTGACGATCTTGAGTACTGAATGTACGAAAGTCATTGTGTTAGTTGACCTATTTGTCCAACGGAATATTTCATTTCTTGGCCAACTTGACGGAAGATGCCGCGCCTATTTTTAGTTTATGTATGTCTTTTAAGGTTTGGTCCTCAATTGAAGCAACGAATTGGAGTTGTACGTCCTACTTTTTAGTTTATTTACAGTTTGTATAAAAAATTGAAAATAACAGCGCTATTATATTTGTGTCTGAAGACCTACCCTTATTTAGTTATATGCCCCACATCCTATGCGCTAAATCTATAAGAGTTTAATAAGAGGTGAAATCACCTAAATAAATCGCACCACAAAAACAACATTGATCTTGCAAGAAAACACATGTTCTTCATAACAACAGATGACCCTTTTCTTCAAAGAATGCCAAGATTTGGCCTTTGTCTGTGTTCTTTACAGATTTAGACATTTCGAATCATTGTTTGAAATTTCTAATCCACGACAAACTGCAGCAGTCGAACATAAAACGATTTAAAAAAGCACGTGATAGTTTTATCGTCTGCAGTTTATTTGATTTGATTTAATTGTGCGCATGTTTTTCATCTTTGACTTCCGTTAGGGGTAGAAATCTAATCCTCTCTTCGAATAGAGTTTGCGGAATTTCCATATCACAGGTTTGTGCAAAATGTCGCTTGCATCTTACAGCTATTTTAAGCCTTTTTTAAGATTGAATTCAACACCAATTCATTGTACTGTTTGTGTTTTTAACCCAATCTTGTAACGTTCTCACAAATTACGTTGTCACACATTCCCCTGGGCTGACTCAGGCATTCAAATCAGAAAGGCCGCTGTCATTGTATATGTTTCTAAACCTAATCTTGTGAGGTTTTTTCGTTCGACACAATCCCTTGGCATAACTCAAGACATTCAATTCAATTATCATTTATGCGTTAATATTTATTCATCCGGCTAAATTTAAATTCAAATGTATAGAAGAGGCGATTAGATTGTGTTTTTAACCTAGTATAGGGGTAGACGCACTTTAAAGATGAGGCTATCGCCCTGTAGATTCCGTAAAACGTGCTATAAATATATTTCGAAAATACAATATTTAATTTTATACGATCGTTAATGAAGTCAAACATCGACCAAACGTTTCAGTGACCTACGTAAAGCGTGGGAACCATATTTCTTGTCATAAAATCGGATTAAAATGCAGAAAGCAAACAGAAAATATCGAATATTGGAAATTTCTTTAGTTTAATCGATTATTTGTGATTTTGTGAAGACAAAAATGAATGTATTTATGTATATTGGTAAAGTTTCTCAATATTTAGCTGCACTCTCACACACACGATCGATTTGCTAAATTCGGATCATTTCGTCGTCGTTTCACACTCATTCGATCTTTTTATGAAATTAAAAATTCAATGTAAGCAAAAATGTAAATTAAGAATAGCTGATAGCTGAACTTGTTTGATTTCGGTAAATAATTGAACCCACTAACTAAATATATTATGCAGTCAGACGCATGTTGTCGTTGTTCATACAATCGTTTAGTCGCGGATTGCAGACTGCAACACAAAATTGTTGATGGACGTACATGTATAGGGATCAAACGTCCATAAAAAATTTAAGTAGTAAAAAAGTTCTTGTGGTCCGGGCAAAAGGCGGATACAGATTACTGTATTTCTTAAAATCTGAATTTTTATTTTGCCAGTTTTTTTAGATTAAGGCCTAGTATTGTAAGAAATGCGAGAGTATTATAGCCAGATACTCAGAATTCAAATCTAAAACCATGGAAACGCAATTAAGAAAATCGTTTTCTTACCCGAATTTCTTTCGTTAGCAATAATCTGAGGGGTCGTAGATTCGTCTACGATCTCGTTCCCTTCAAAATCTTTATCCGATCCCCAATCTATGGTCGCAGGTTCGTCCGGAATGATCGGAGTCGTGGACGGAGTGGAAAAACTTTTCCATGGATTCTTCATCTCCGTTTGATGTTCGTTGATCAGAGATTTGGTCGTAGCTAATGTAGTTGTAATGGACGTAGTCGTTGACGGAATTGTAGATGCTGTAGGTCTTGTTGTTGGCCGCCATGTTATCCTAGGTAACCACGTTGTGGATCGAATTTTTGTTGTAGGTCGCTTCGTAGTTGCTGGAAGTGGCGTTGTGGTCGGTGGTCGTTTGGTCGTGGGTGGACGTTTCGTTGTCTGCACCTTGGTCGTAATTGATGGCAACGGCTGGGGAAAGATGGACAGAGATTTCTGCGTTTCCGGAAGTTTTAATAGCGGACTTTTCGTGATCCTTTTCCAGAAGATTGGAGAAAATGTTGTTATTGGTCCGGGAATTGGTTTTGGGTTGTTCACTTCCGGTAAAGTCGGCACCTGTGGGACCAGAGTTTTCCTTGGTAACCATATAACTGGTCTTTTGGTAATGATGTTCCAGAACGGTCGTCTAGAAGAGGGAAGACTTTGTGTTTTGGGTTTTACAGTCGTTGGTACCTTCGTGAAATGTCGCCATGTTCTCTGCTTCCATAGTTTTGGATTAAAGGTAAAGATGGACCTGGGTCTGGCTGTCTTGGGTCGCGGCGTCCATATAAATATCGGCGCTGGGGTGTTGCTTGGAATTGGTGTGATTCTTCTGTTCGGACGTGGCGTCGTTGGACGTCGGGTTGTTGGTCTTGGCGTAGTCCTTTTCGTTGGTCTGTGTGTCGTAGGACGTCGCGTTGTTGGTCTTTGTGTCGTTGGCCGTGGCGTTGTAGGTCGCCGGGTGGTTGCCCTTGGAGTTGCATTGGGTCGCGGTGTTGTTCGCACTGGTCGTGGAGTTGTAGGCCTATAAGTTGTTGGTTGAGCCGTAGTCTGCCGTCTCGTCGCAGGTGGTCGTTGAGTCGTTGGTGGTTTCCACGTAAATGGTTGCTTCGTCACGGGTCTGAGGTTGAACCTTCTTGGGGTTGTAACTTGCTTATCTAAGCGCCAAGTGAATCTAGGTTTCGGTGTCTTCCTTTCCCAGACAAAAAGTGGTTTATGGGTGGTTGGCTTGTGCGTGGCGGGTTTGTACCACAGCGAGTTCTTGGTGGTTTGCTGCTTAAAGATTGGTGTTGTGCTGGGTGGCTGAATTGGTGTTATTCGTGGCGCAGGGGTAGTGGTGAAGGGTACAAAAGGGGTATATGGGTACAGAGTAGAATCAGTTTTCCAGGTAACCCAGTGCCGTGAGGTCTTCTCCCACGGCTCGGGCTTTGTCTTCTTATCGGTAACGTCTTGGTCGCGTTGTTGAATATCAATTTGTGGTGGTGCTTGCGTATTCGTCTCGGAATAGTTGCAATCGTCGAACGCCGTATTCTGCCACACGCAGACTTTGTATTTGAGCGACCAAATCGTATGCGGCGTTTCACAAGTCATTTTCCAATAACGGTTGCCGTAACATGTGTAGAAGATGCTGCAGTCTAACGGATCACGCACGTACGTTTGTCGTTTTACTGGAAAGCGACATGGCATTCTTAACGGATGCTTATATAACGACACTTCTTTTAAGGAAAGCACAAACTGAAGGTCCAAAGTCCAATACAAGAACAGCAAGGATAATTTCCAAATCATTTTGAACAGTTTCAGAAATGAAGTTTTCACTTCTTTAGAATATCACAGCATAAATTTTTAAACTTTTCACCGGATCGATGAGAATCGATTCAAAAAATGTCAGAAAACCAAAAACAGTGTTAGAATAGAAGATCCATAATCAAGTAGAACAATCTTGAAATCACAATTCTTGAATTATTTTATTCCAATTGTCAAAACTCTTCGATTTTATTCCTCTTACAATTTAAAATCGTTCTGCACATTTCAAACCATCCTTCGCTGTTCACAGATAAACGTTTAATAAACACTTTCGGCAAAGATTTCGTTCTCCAGAACTTCGTCTTCCTGAGCCTAATCTTAGCAAATATCTCCTAATCCCTGAGTTATGCTGCCGAAACAAACAGATATCTTGGCTTTCAGACGGATTTCTTCAAAGAACGTTTTAACGAGATCAACATAATGCCAACGTCAATCAAACTAATATTTGATACTGATTGGCTGGAATGCTACGACGTCATTGCTAAGTTTCCACGCCCTCCATCAATTCGGGACTTTAAAATATCTTTTATGTTTAAGTTATTTTACTGGTTGTGTTGTCCAAGGTCCGGTTGATAAACAAACGATTTATAAAATAGGTGCATAACATGATGCTAAATAAATATGGCGGGGTCAAACTCGCTTTGCTTAGCAGCAGTTTTGGCTGACGAAGTAGCAGTTTTGGTTCATTTGGACACCCCCAGTCACTCAAGAACCCCGCATTTTAACGCAAAGAATTTCCAAATCTTAATTTTAATAATTATAAACGAGATCTCGATCAGCTAAGGTATCAACCACGTTTGTACTTGGAAACAGTAGTTTTTGAATGTTTCACCACTATGCGGTGTAATATCTAAGATTAACGTATAAAAGAATGAATTTGACAAACAATTTCTAGAGCATTTGTGACGATTTGTTAAAATTCAATAAAAATTGGCAAATGACCATTTTAAATTGTTTTCATAGAAGTTTTCTGGAATGTTTTTATATTGATAATCGGATACGAATCGATATGTACGATATGCATTAGGAGCTCAATAAAAAACACAAACAAATTTGCACTTTGTATAATGATGGGAATAGACAAGGTTGAAGATATGGTGTCCTGTGCGGCGTACAATTCCGGGGTTGTCAACGGTAATCCGAAGAAAACATTCATGTCCGAATTGTGTTCGGACCTGTACCTCGTTTATTGGCTTAATGCTGTATTGGCATATCACACTATATATACACTGCGTACACCGTACCAAGATATGTGCACTCAGTAATATATTTGGGAAGCATTGAAACGATATATAGCAAATCATAAAGCACTTTCCGTCCTGTTCTGGGTTTTCAATAACAGTGTATAAAGAAGGATTTCATTTTCTCACATTTCTTAATTCTGCGGGAAAGTAAGGTTTAAAATCCAGTGTATTTCGTTACATTTGTAATCCAGTAAGGATTACACCTGTTATTAGTGAATTTCGAGTATACTTTAACCGTTAAAAACAAGTTCAAGGCTTGCCAAACACTTCAGTCTACATTTTACGTTTTAAGGCGGAAACTGGATTAATCAAAACCCCGGTAAATAGGTAATCTGTGATTGAACGATTTGGAAATTTCTCAATTTTCACCTTTTTGTCATAAAAAATAAACGTTTTTGATTTTTTTTTTATATGTCTGTGTGAACTGATTTACGTAGCAATTAATCGGCAATTTTCTTGGGGAAAAGCAAAAAGTGGGAACAGAAACACAATCTTCTGTTACTACTTCTTATTGGCGCCACTATACGACTATGTTCGGCATATCAAAACCTTGTCTAAGGGCTGTCTTTTTACCTGGCTAATCTAGACCTTCACTCCCTAACAGACTTGATGCCACTATGCAACAGTGTTCGTCTATCATCTATAAGCTTAAAACGAGACTATTTTTTAGGGATAGAATTTTAGAGTTTGTAAAAATCTCACTCCCCTAATGTACCCGCGGTCTGTCGGATTGGGTTAATCAACTAAGCATGGTAAAATCAGACCAAAGACCCTGCATTTCAACGGATAGAATTTAAATTTTGTAAATTTTCACCACCCCTATTGCACCCAACGGCACTGTGCGCCTGGGTTCGTCAACAGTGCGTTGTAAAATCATATCAAAGAGCATGGAAGCTTATCCGAATTGATGAGAAACTTGTATTTTTTATAATTCGGAGTGTAAACATTACGTTCATTGAAACACGGATTAAGTGTGTGTATTTCACGTCAATGCAATTCTCAGTTGAACTTTTTAAAATTTTTCGCCGTAGCTTTAATACGCACTACGTTTTTTGTTTGGAGTTTTGTGAATTTTTGGTAATCCGTAAGGATACAAATAATATGAACAAACATGGCGTTTTTAATACGAAAATCTTTTCTCGATTATGCATATATAAGTGGTGAAAATTTCTCCTATGCGACGATCAAACAATTCTCAAAACTTCGACATGTTTTTCCAAATTTCATATCGATTTTTTGTTTTTATTTGTATATACTTTAGTTTGAATTAAATCTAGAAAGTGCAGGAAAAAGTCGATCGGAAATGACCACCGCGAATTGACCAGTTGTAAACAAAAAATAGTTTGAAAGGGGTAAGACAAGGTGACGCTCTTGTACCTCCTATTACTTTTAGTTGATAAAAAATTTAATAAGAGTACAAAATATCATTACAAAATTCATGTAGAAAATGGGCGTTAAGAGAGCAAAGTTGAATAATAACGTGTTATTAACGTGAATGGGGTAAGGCAAGGCGACGTTATAATGCCCCTTTCATTCATTAAAGTTGATAAAAAAAACGGTTTACATGCAGAGTTGATTTTTCCATTGGCAGTGGAATTGCGAAGTCGGTAGCGAGTTGGATTATAGTGTGCTAGGAGATTAGGTGTTGTTGGTACGGATTTAACCAGTGGGCCGGGGTCAGTTTTCAATCTCTACTAGCTCAATCTCGTTGGTACATCAGTTAAAGAGTGAAGGTCAAAGTAAAAAATGAATAAAATGAATGAGATTTTTTCCCTACTTTTCTGCAACCGACTGGGCTAATGAAGACGAAAAACGCCACGCAGTATGAATGAGGAAAATTTTTTTCCGCATGCTCTTTTTTGATTTTCAACCATCGAAGGATGAGCGTCTAGATCCTCAAAACAAAAAGATCCCTGGAGATGACATATTAATAAAAAAAACTATTCTTGGCCGACCCAAACATTCTATCATTTCGTCTTACTCAAACACCCAGTCTCCTGTTAGGATAAACCTTTCGGTTCGTTTGAGGGCAGATGCCAAGAAATGTTTGATACCTTGTGAAAAATGCCTCGCCCCAAATCTTAAAAGCCTTCATCAAATATGCTTGGGTCATTATTCGTCCTTTATTCAATAACTGTGGAATGGAATTATGAAATGAAATATCATATTCAAATATTGGTGAACTTTTATTAATAGTGCACAGGTTTAAAATTGGATTAGCGGTTACATCTTCATCTGGGAAAAATCAGAATGTCAAAATGATCTGCACTTTACTGGGACAAAAAAAATGAGAAATGCAGTGTGCAATGAGGGAATGTGGTCTGTATGGCAGCAGAAATAATTCTCGGATATCAAATGTTTAATGTCTAATCACTTGGACATTTCTTGAAAGTAAATCAAAAAATTTTGGATAGCATTTGAATTCAATATGCTATGTTTCGTGGTGTACAATTTCGCCTTCCTCAGCAAAGTTGGCGTTCTAAGAGGCATTCGACAGTAAATCTGAACTGAATAAATTCAGCGATGTTTTACGAAAGTCTGGTTGTCTAAAAATTCATGTATAAGGTTTGACAAAGTCGGATGGCACCTAAGCTATATCATATACCCAGAACATGTTCAAAAACCAACATCGATAATAATTGAGACCATCAAAATTTCAAACCAAGGTGTGAACCATCGTCAAAGTTGACACGAACTCGGCTCCAAATGAATCCGATCACATCATCAAAGAAGAATTACCTAGAAAACAATCGCGACTTAAATTGATTAGCCTCGCCATTGTTCTTGAAAGCTCCCAGCCTGTGTCAAAAATCTCACGAATTTTGGCCATTCTGCGTTCGTTTTGAGCCTTAACTAAATTTTGTACCTGGGCTGTCAAAGTTTGGCTTGATTATCTTGGATTAAGAATCACCATTTTTCTGCCAATTTTTCCCATCTTGTTTGAATATTTGTCCGAACTCAAGGTCAAGCCTTTTGGTCAAATTTGGGTCAACTTGGGCGACTATAAAATAAATATTTTTCATTTCGGGGTAATGCATTTTTAAATGAAGCGATATACAAAGGTAAATACTTATTGTGTTTAGTTTTAGTCTAGGTTTGATGTTTTTAGTACAACCGAACTCGGACTGTTCTAGTGGCACAGCCTCTCCCCCAAACTCTTTCGGATAAAGGGTACTTGCCCTTGGTCCAGGAGCTGATACAGTCAACTGATGCCAAAACGTAAGCCTATATTCTGGCGTGACTTTAAACGACATTTGGTTAAACTTGAAAACCAAGATGGTCACAGAAATGGCAATAGTTTCTGACTAAAATTAAATTTACATTTGCAATCACGATGACTTATGACATGAACTTTGACCTTTGTCAAACATTTGTAAAAAATTAACTACGATTTTAAACAATTTTACTTCTGTGCAGCAAAATCGCCATAAAGCTCTTTAATAATCCTGTTCCCAACCCCCTTTGATCCTTGCAGACATTCTTTCGATTGTTTTTAGGTATATGCGAGCTCTTTCAACGGACAATGGTCGCCATTGTTTTCTAGAAAAGTCTAAAAGTCAGAGGACAATACACGAAATATCATTTGTTGAAACAGTCATGATGGGAATTTGTTTTTGCATTTTTGTGCGTTTCGGTGGCGATTCGGAGGGTAAAAAGAAGGCAAACAGACGCTCGCTGCAGAAGTCTCCGTTTTCCTCAAAGCGAACAACGTGTCAGCCATAGAAGAAACTGGTCGGAGTTAAGAATGTCGCTTGTCGCAGAAGTCTTATGGTTTCTGCGTTACAGTTGAAAACCTGTTGAGCACACATGTAGTGAACATCCGTTGCTGGAAGATAGAACGATTGTACATCTACGATGCAAGCACTGGTCTAAAAATGCTCGTCGCTTTCCGGAGAACAAAGTTGCCACGAAGAAACGATGGACCGTTAGCAAAAATAGTTTAATGGTCAAAAAGAAGCATGAAGCTGAACAGGGAAAAACATCAAAGGGCAAATATGAGAGAATCAACTTTTTTTCATGGTGTTTCGAGTTACGGTTGGTTCCGTGGGAAGAAAACACGTACAGAATCAAATTTATGCAGATTTTCAAATATCAAAGCAATAATTTGATGGAAACATCCTAAAATGATGTCCCCTTAATCGTAAGTATTATGAATTTTTCTTTTTCACTTGGTTTTGGATTATTTAGATCTCTTCCTACACTCAGATCCTTCAAAAGGTTTGAGCATGTGAAAATATTTTAGGGTATTTGGGTTTTAAACCGTTTCGATCCATTCAAACGTCTAAGGTAATACTGAAATTGTTATCAATTTGATGCCTGATGCATGAAAAGATCATTTCAAAAACAAATATCTATTGGCCGTTATATGGAGGTAAACAAGTGAACGTTCATACAAGTTATACTGTACATAAACAAATTAAATCGATTTGACGATCCAATCCTGTTGAACGGATTTGTTCACAGTAAGTTGTCGAGAGGGTAAGGTTATCACTAAGGGGTGTTGGTTTAGAACTTAATATCTGAAAGTTATCACCAAAAATACGTATTTTGGTAAGCTTTATGGGGATTTCGGGTTAAGAAACCACAAATTCTCTTGAAAATAGATGTTTTCATAATTTTAAAGCTTGAAAAGGGTCGGTATCAATTTCAGTTATTCGGATGGGGTTTAGTCCGTTTAGTAAATATCCAATATTACGATCGAAAAAGTCGGATTGGTAAGGTAATCATTATGGTGTCAGGATGGGCCGAGGTGCGATGGTGCGAACATAATAAGTATAAGATGGACCAAGTATCAAAGTGATTTCGATAAGCTTCTAAGGAAACTTTAGTTTTTAGTTTCGGTTAGTTTTGGTTATTGGGGTATAGTTTACAACGTGAATATCTAAATTAATTGGCGATCTAAAAAGTCCAATCGGTAAGCCCATCTGTATGGTGTCCGGGTAGGTCAAAGGGTGCTGGTACATATCTGTAGGCCTATTAAAGATGAACTACCGGTAACGATTATTGTGAATCGAAGCATAAAGGAAAGGTTCGTTTTTAGTTTGGTTATGGCTTGCAGTATGATGACCCATGATTCCAGGAAATCGACATGGTAAGCTAAATTCATGGATGGGTGTTGGATAAGTTTAATAGTCAAAATAGACGTGTTAGATAAGTTCACTCAGTAAATGAAGGTTAGGATAAACAAGTACAGTTAGGCAATTAGCCAGCCTTTCTTTGTAAAATTAAATCGTGAAAAACAACAGGAGCTTGATGTCCAAATAGGGCCGTTTTACTGGCTCTACATGGACACCAAGCTCCTGTGGGCTTTGTTTTATCTTTTTCAGATGCAGTCAAAATATCAGGACCATGCCGTATGAAGCTTGGAGTGTGTAAGAAGTTTGTGAGTCAATTCCTTAATGATATGTGAAAATTGCAGCTTTTTGGTTGGCTTGGGAGAGGGGGTGGGGTTTTGAGGTCGGGGTAACATGGTGACCATGCGACGGGCAGAGACAATTCGATCAATCACTGAATGAAGTCGACCTTATCCCAAATGTAGAACAAAACAAGAGAACATAACAAACAGTGTACACAAAACTGACCACAGCTATTATGGAATTTTGACAGTAAATAACCCTCACTGACCATTGCGTGTCCGGACAGCTGAAATCCCGTAAAGTCGGCTGAAGAATTTGTTATGGTCGACTTGTGTTGCAGAGATATCAACTTGTTCAAACATTGGGGACTTTGTGTCGGAATTGTTTTCATTTTACAAATTTATGTCTAAACTCCGTCTCGCTGACGAAGTTCGTCATTTTGTTGAATTTTATAAAGATTTGTATTAAAGTAGACAGAATAAATATTACCATGATAAACTTGTGTTGTGCTGACTTGACAAGCGCCGACTTCACTCGAGGGTCTTGGCATCCGTCGATTGGCTTTTGTTACAGATGCATGTGGTCTAAAATGAACCTGCATTGATTTCCCAAGCGCACAGTTTCTTTGTTTTGGATCTCACCAAACGGTAGGATGAGTACCTCGATCAATAGGGCCTATAGGCGATCGATTTGAGGGCAGGGGATGCTTTTCAATAAGCCTATGTGTGGCCTACATTGTCTAGTAATGGGGATGGAGAGGTGGTGGGGAGGTTGGAAGAGTTGTTCGTATGCCTCGATCTCTAAGTACCCAAAGCCAAGGTCGAGGGACATATTTTGGTTGCCCCCAAAAGCGTAATCTTATCTCAAGTTTGGCTTCCGTTGATTAGCATTAAGTGTCTTGTAGTTGTGATGTCTGTGTTGACTTCAAAAGCGAACAAGAAGAGTTACCATTTGAGGTCTGTATTTTCTTTCCGACGGAAAAGTTACCTCCCATCAATTGCACATAAACTGAAGTTTTACGCACATAACTCTCAGTAGCCCAGACCTTTCTTATGTCTGAGATTATACTAAGAAGGCCTGTAAATTAAGTCAATGCCGTAGCGTCTTGTCAGAGCTAAACTCCAGACAAAATGTCCTCCTTAGATTCAATTGATTAGAACTAGAGAATTCAAAACTTCGTGGCAGTTTCTTACTAAATACTTTATTTTAGAAAGTTAATCATATTTATATAACAGTAGGCCTAACGTCACTGGGCCAGGAAAATGCTAAAATAGTGCGGTGCGTGACCAGATATCAATAATAGAATGCAGGTGTTGATATTGATGAAGCGACTATAAAGAACATTGCAATGAAACTATTTCTCAAGGCAGTCCAGTAATTTCTGAGCTTCGTTTAACTGCTAAAACACCATCTCGTATTGGTAGAAGAACCTGAAAAATACAGCGAAGAATGTGGATTAAATGCCAATAGCGCTATTGAAATCGTATAAAGCGGTTCAATATAAATGCTTCAAAATGGAATAATTCTAGACTATTAACAATGCGGGCTTTCTGAGAGGGATACTTAATTGGCAAACATAAAATACCTCACAAATATTAGCTAATTGGAATTCCAGTCGCAGAGTGGCATCAGCCGGTCTTGTCAACTAGCGACACCCGATACAGTACTCCCACTTATTTTTGTGGAGTTCATAGTGCACGTGCACATTGACTCAAAATCTCATTCAGAAGATCATTACGATTACCTGTTGCAGTTCCGGTTTACTCTGTACATAGCTGTTAAAATCATGGATGGGGTTGTCTTTCGGGGTGTGGGGTGCTGTGTAGGCCTCTCCCAGTTTGAAGGCGTTGTCTGCAAGAAGGATGCCATTCGAAGCTAACATGTTCTTGTCTAAGATTGTCTGTAAGTAAAAATACCAAGAAAACATTATTAACTATGTGGACGCTCTGAAAGGAATAAAGGATAGGCTACCAATATCATCAATCAAAATACTTAGTTATTGATATTGATGACGATTAGTTGGGGTACAATTAAGGCGTAAACCACTTTTCTAGGAGGGCAAATGCCCCAAGAATTCAAGAATTCGGGAGAACTTACGTCGATATAGTTCCTATACGATTGCTTATCAGCATCGAGAAAAATTACATCGAACTTTTGGCCTTCGTCTCCAAGTTTACTCAGAATTTCTCGAGCTTCTCCTGTAAAAATAATAGCAACAACAACGTATTAGCTATGTGGACTCTCTATAAGGCATGCTGGCGTGTCTTTGAGACGAGAAAGCTGTTCATATCCTGTAGTAGAATGCGTTAGGATCTGGACGCGCGATCTGTAGCATCTTATACTATCACAAACCTTCCTATTTTGTTATTCGCCAGATTACGTGTTAGGTGGGTCACTTACTCATATGTACGTGCAAGATCAAACCACGCTTTAATCACCTAACAAGGTTACGGGGGTAAGTAGATCACTTACCAATATGCACGTGTATTTTTTTGCCATGAGGAGATCGTTCAAAAAACCCCTTTGCCATCTCTTCGATATATTTTTCTATTTCTATAGTATGAAGGACACCATCTGAGGGTAAGGCCTCGGCCATGCCCAGTGCTGTATACCCAGTAAACATTCCAAGTTCTAAAACACGTTTAGCTTTGACCATACTGATTATAAACTGTAGAAACTTTACTGTAAAGATACAACGACATTACTTTAACTATAACAAGGGATATAACTCCGAAAACCTTTCTCGAAATTATTAAAATCAAACTCATCCGAGATCTCATCACCATCGTAGGAAACCGCAATTCAATCAAAAATATTCGGTTCACAATGCACAGGAGCAAAAATGTCCGTTTTATTCCAGAGCGGTTATGTTTCTTTTACACTTTTAATATCAGCAATCTGATTGGATGATAAAGTTATAATTGAAAATCGATTTTAGTGATTAACAAATCAAATGTGAAATGTTTTTGTGAAACTGATCCCTGGAACTACCGGTCTGACCCCGGGAATAACGTTCTCACCTGTACACACCCCACTAATCATTCTAGGGTTGATATTCCACGAGGTTTTTCCCGCCTTATACACCTCGTCCCAGGGATGGGAAACTGTTGCCTTGGTAATTTCATTCAGCAGATCTGACGGAGATGTTGATAGGTTGTCTGCGTATTCATGACGTTTTTCAAAAAGTTCTTTGATGGTGTTCAGTTTCTGTAGAACTGCTGGGTCAACGCCCTTGATCTCGCTTGAGCTCAAGAGACTCGTCAGCTCTCTGTAGGCAGGGTCGTAAATGGTCGCCATTTTGCTTTCTGAAATTACAATTTTTTTTAAATGAAACATAGAAATAAAACAATTAAATGCAGCTCTAAATAAACGTGAAATTCCCTCTCCAAACGATATAAAACCTGAAAGGTGCGTATAATAGACAGGGTAGGCCTGCTATGTCTAGCGTGCTGGACGATGCGAAATTATCGACACAGTAGAAAATGACAGAAGCAAAGATATCCGAGTCTGATCGGGTTCTCTACTGTATAGATAATCATGCAACATTGACCGCACAGGACATTGCACCTTGTTTATTCGTAGCTTATCGCGTAAGACTCCATTTCATTAGTCAAATACGGTACAAAACCAGGAGTAAACTCGACCCGATACAAAACAGTAGGATATAAAACTCTATTTCATTTCGTTAGTTCCAAAAAGATACAGAACAGTAGGATATAAAACTCCATTTCATTCCATCAAACCAATAAGATACAGAACAGTAGAATATAAAACTCTATTTCATTTCATTAGTCTAATAAGCTACAGAACAGTAAGATATAAAACTCTATTTCATTTCATCAAACCAATAAGATACAGAACAGTAGGATATAAATCTACATTTCATTTCATTAGTCCAATAAGGTATAGTACAGTAGGATATAAAACTGCATTTTATTTCATTAGCCAAATAATGTACAGTAGGGTATAAAAGTCTATTTAATTCTATCATATCGTACTCTTACCTCTTAATCTTAGTTAGTGTTCCAAGTGGACAAAATAACAGAATGACTTGAATGCATAAACGCAATATCTTATATATCAAAAATTCTGAACAAATTTAGAAAAAAAAAATATATCATGTGATCATATAGTCCGAAACAGAGATATTTTTACCTGCACCTTGGCTATTTTTGAAAGTTGTAAGCCAGCTAGAGTCAGGAAAACTGTATTAATTTTGAGAAATTTCTATTACTATTTGTTTCATTAGGTTGTCGACTGTATGTATTGTATGACATGACCCCCACTCTCAAATTTCTTATAATTTTACAAGGGTAAAGAATTGCCTAGTCGCACCCCCCCCTCCCCCCTTTTTTCAAAATTCTAAATCCTGTCCCCACCTAACGATTCCAAGACACACCCCTGCATATTTTAGCACCAGCCCCCGAATTTCATGAGAGTTAACCCATATCTATACTGTGTTTTTAGAACTATAGGAAGCCGACATCTGTCTAATAAGAACGTTCGGACTAACGACCTTGGAGTGTTAAGTTTGCTCTACATCTGAAAGAGTAAAATGACGCGCCCACCCAAATACTGATTGAAATAATGGCATAAGTATGTTAGCGGTGAGGGATGACGGTCTATATCAACATTGGAGTTCTTGTAGTGCAAATGGATGATAAACGCCCCACGTCCCATAACACTATTCTCTCTTCCCACTGCAGATCGGTTGGTTGGTAGATGACAAGTTAACGTTTACTTCCAGCGGATGCTGATATCGCAAACTAATCGTCCACAAATCGATTTTATTAACCCCTTTATGGGTGGAGAAATGTGGTACGGAAGCTCCATTTTATTTTAGTAGCCAATCGAGTGTAGAAAAGAAGTATTTAAAACTGTATTTTATACCGTATGCTCAAGAAAGGGGGGGGGGGGGATTTGACTAGAAGGCATCCAGCCCACCCAACCAAAAGAAAAATCGCCCAATACAGGGCTAGAACTTAATCTTGCAAAAGTGCACTGTCATAGAGAAAGCGTAAGCCACCATAGAACGTGTACAGGCTCCTTTTAAAAGCAAGTAGAGCGACAAACGCGGAGTTTTTACAGACATAGTGCAGCAAGATATTCAGGGGATATTGGGTAATTTCATCTACCGTTTTGACTTACATTATTTTACTAAAATTGTAGAACAAACATACAACTTGTACGATATCAAACATAAAATTTGTTTCGGGCTAATTGAAACCATGAGGGGTGGGGAAATGACGCATAATCTATTTGCTAAATTGCATGGAGATTTCATCAGACACATTTCATCAGACAAAGATTGATAAGCTGATGGTCTAATCTTGATAAGTTTTTTTTAATAAAACAATAAGAAAATATCCAGGCAAGGTTCAAGACGAAATTTAGAGGTAGATTGAGGCAAGGTTTGTGGCGAAATTGACTTGAAAATTGGGACTCGTGTGTTGGCCTAGGCCCTAACAAAATTTCCCTCATTGCACACAGATTGTGAATGTCTTTATCAATTAGTAATTTTTATAAAAGTTAAGGATGAATAGGGGGTGAAACACTATTTCAATTTTAAATTATTTAAATTAGGTCGAATGGGCTTATACAGAGCAAGCCCATTGTGTTCTGGGTCGAAATCAATTTGCCTAAAGCCAAGTTATGTACTGACAGGCGCAGAATAAACCTAATCGAAAATAGCCCATGCAAATTCCTCGAAGATAGGCCTAATCAACTTACGTGAGTGACAATAAATCCAACACAGTGTGATGAAAGCTTATATAGATTGTTATCATGTGATAATGAGTTTAAGGTTTCAGCGACCTATCTTGACAAATCAAATGGTGTCGATTTTTCTTCCATTGAAATGTCGATTTTTTTATAAACAAAAATCACTCTAATGAGCCCAGATTAGACTTAAGGCTAAAAGGCTAGGGTTGAAAGTCTGCAAAAGCTTGTGTATGCATAAAAGGGCGTGGCAGGGTAGTTCTGAGTGCACAATCAAATATAGTCAAATAGGCAACTCTTTCAGAATGTCTCAAAAGGATCGCATGCAAACTAAAAAATCGTTGTAATTATAGTGCTACGGGTTCGAATTCCCTCAAATGTCATATAGGCCTAAGTCTACTTGGAAATCAATTTGTACTTTTAAGTCCTGATAATCTCGACTACAATAATGAGAGTTATCTCTCTTTGGTAACATGGCCGACAAAAATGAAATTTCACAGCAAAGATTTGATTTTTGGTAATTTTTGATTAGAGAACGTTCGTTTACGAGTGTTTTTTTGCATCATGAATGGAAATTGATTATCAAACACTCGTGCTGTTTACTGTGTGTCCTCTAATATGCCTTACTTTTCTGATCTCTATACATCAACGTGAAAAGAAAATGTCCCCACCCCATCCTTTCAATCTTATAACTCGACTAATTTTCTTTGACTATCACAATATTTTATCCTTTAATGAGCTTCAATTCCTTACATCAAAATGAAAGTTCAAGTAAGATTTTCAGTTATTGGTTTGGTCCAAATGTTCCGATATGACTAGCCTATGTTTTTTCAATATTATTAGGGGCCCTAATTCTCTTTTTTTCCAGAAATGATCCTTTTGTGATGCAGAATCCCTTCATGGGAGGAGGCCAAATCCCTGCCCAGATGATGGGGCAGGGAGGGATGAATCCAAGAATGGGGACCCCAAATAATTTCCAGGCACCAAACCAACAGTTACCAAATATGATGATGCCTGGTGGCAACCAGATGGGAATGCATGGAATGAATCCAATGGCCGCCATGGCAATGAGACAGAATTTCAGAATGGGAAACGGCAACCAGAATGCGAATTTGTTCCAGCAACAAATGGCCATGATGCCTCCACAGATGCAAATGATGATGATGAACCGAATGCAGTTCCAGAATATGAACATGATGCAAGGACAACAGATGCAAGTCCAAAGAATGGTGCCTAATTCTCCGGCAGCATCGAATTCTGGAGGATTTCAAAATCAATTCAACCATCCCAACAATTCTCCCAATTTTCAAAATAAATCGTTCGAGAATCGAGAAAGAACATACAGTGCTTCTTCCAAGGACAGTGGAATTTCCACTTCTGGAAGGTCAAGGTCAAATGGATCAAGAGATGATCAAAATGATCGATATTCATCCTCGAGAAATCGTGGTAAAGACTCTTGGTCTTATTCAAGTTCTGATAATTACAAATCAAGAGATCGCTCTGATGGACAAGATCAATCCAGTCGCAATGATGACAGACGATATCCTAGAAAAAGACGTCTGGATGATACTGATTCAAATTATACGTCTGATACAGAAACAGAGTCAAGGGAGAGAACTGTGTCTGGATCTGAGAGAAGTAGTCGACCGAGGTCTAGCTCTAGATCACCAAGGAAATATAAACGACCGTCCTACAGAGATAGGTAATAATCTGAGCTGCCTGCAATAAAAATTACAGTCAAATTTTATATGTGATTTGAAAGCCTTCACTCTTCATGCAGTAGAATATTCAATTTTTGGCAGCTTCTTACTTTGCTAATGTCTATAGTCAAAAAATATCCCCAATTGAATAAGTAGCTGACCTGCTGACCTCTAGTAAATTACCTTCAACAGTAGGTCCTATATTGGAAAATGACTAGCTGTCCTGATGGGGATTGTGTATCTGAAACGTGTCAGCAGCATGAGATAAGCTCCAGTTAATTAATTGTTTTTTCTTGTTTTCTCTCCTTTATTTTGATGCAAAATATTTCAGGAGAGACAACAGATATAGAGGTGAATCCTCACGTCATGACAGCAGAGATAGGGGACGTGATGGTAGGGACCGGGGTAGAGATCCTAACTGCAGGGACAGGGGTCGTGATAGAGACAGAGACCGTGATGGCAGAGACCCTGGTAGAGACAGAAGTTATTCACAGAGTCGCAGAGATGACAGTACTACCAGAACAGATAGAAGAGAGGAAAGATCAGAGAGCAAGGATAGAAATTCAATAAGGTAGGCTAGGTCTTATATTTTACACATAAGTAAAAATTTGAGGGGAGGGGCTAGTGTTCATTCATTGTTCACTGCAAGATAGAGAAATTTATTTTACCCAGAGATATAAATAGGGGGATGCTTGTAGTGTCGTATTTGAAAGTGGTGTTTATTCACTGTTTAATGAATTAAATTTTACGATTAAGGGCACGATTAAAGCCAGTGTATAGATGACAAATTAAATTTAAAGTGTTTGTTGTAATTATATATTCAAGGACAGAAGAACCAGGAAGTGATATACCAGAACCAGATGATACAGTAGATGATGAGGATGCCAAACTGGAAGAGGAGGATATGACACCGAAATGGGTTCGATGTTCACCAGCTGATCTTTATTTCACTGCTAATCACACTGTAAGTCGAATTTTTATGTATTAAGATTAGTTATTGGACCCATCTCCCTTTCAGAGAGTTCACATTGCTAATTGTCACTGTTTATGTGATATTTAGATTTGTCAACTTGGTATTCCTTTCAGAGAGTCCACATAGCTAATATTGATATTTAGGCTTGTCAACTCGATATCCCTTTCAGAGAGTCCACATAGCTAATTTTGATATTTAAGTTTGTCAACTTGGTATCCCTTTCAGAGAGTCCACATAGCTAGTAATGTTTATTTGGTTTATGAATTAGACATTTCTTGTGGAGTGTTCACATAGTCTATAATTTAATGTTTATTTTTAGACTGGTTGTATGGAAGGAACGAAGAAAATGAAAGATTTAGAAGATACATTTGAATATGAGTTGGTCCAGTGGTCTTCTCGAGTTAAAGCTGAGCAATCCGAGTCAGTCCCTCCCCAGGCACCTCGCCCCCCAACCCATCATCATCATCATCATCATCATCATCATGGAGAGGGGGAAAACTGTGGTTTGTATCCTTTAGATTTAACTTTGTTATCTCCCCTTGCCGCTTGTTCTCTCTAGGCTTAGTTTATTTAGTTTTACGTTCCATTATTTCTAAATTATAGGGTGGAACGAAACTGTCATACAACTTTTCCAGAATAGGACGTAAGACCCTTGGATTATATTAGCGCCTTTTTGTGATAGTTACTGACATCATAAAGGGCTTAGTGAAATCACAAACAGACAACTTGTCATTAAACGGTTTTACACTATTGTAACACTATTTAAAATGTTCCTCCTCATAGAGTCATCTTCTGACAGTGATAGTTCGAGTTCATCTGATTCCGATGAGGAAGTCAGTGCCAGAATGGAAGAATTAGAACGCAAGAAAAAACATCCTCATCTTTTACATTCTGAAATGTGGTATAATGAACCTGGACAGGTGAGTTCATGAAGCAATTTTAAAGGGATTCAAACCCTATAGCGCCTTTAAACTGAAACTTGTGTTGTGTTCACAAATTGCTATACTAACAGGCCTAAATTTTGCAGTCAGATTTAGGCAAGACTAGTGCATCATGCAATTGATTTCGTCCAATCAATGCCAAGGTGACAATAGCTAGAACGGTGTTCTATGATGCCTGTTAAACAAAGGTTTTTTCTGAAAGCCCCTTGTCTGGCTAGAAGCCATCTACACATCGTCAGCAAAGTGACTTGCTCACCTCAAATTGTGTGATGTCAGTGTTGAATTTATTTTGCAGGTAAACGATGGTCCATTATGTAGATGCAGTATAAAATCACAGAAAACTGGAATCAGACATAACGTCTATCCAGGAGAACAGGTAAGTACTCTCCCTCCCCTCTGGACCCCCTGTCACTGCCTTTATTAGACCAATCAGGTACAGAAAGTAGGAGGTTAGACTCCTTTTCATTTCATTATTCATCTTCCCCTCCAGCACTTTGATATCCTGGCCATTCTATAATTGAATTCTTCTAATCAGCAAATTCCATCCCGTTCATTTGGGAGTAAAGATTGTAAATATTGATGACAAAGTTATGAAAGCACATGCTCAGGACATAAATTTGGGGTGTAGTGGACCCGTATAAGTTCTATTCAGGACCTCAAAAGGGAAATAGCTCTTAATACAGACTTGATATTTTCGGAACCCAATATGACAATAGATTCTATTTTTATGATTTATTTTTTAGGAGATTTTGAGTTGTGATAAAAACAGTAACAATAAAGATAAATTGTTTCACTACCGTGTAGCCATGTCACCTCCCACCAATTTTCTCGTAAGTTTATTTTTATTGTCCAATCAAATCATGCATTAAATTTGAAAGAAGGAAACAAACAACAATTTTTTACTAGGATAACAACTTTGGTTCTCTAGGATCCTCTCTACCAGCTGGTCATTGACCAAACCTGCTGGCGTTAATTTTACAGGATAACTACTCAAGGATCCTTAATCAAACCTTTTGGCATTGATCCATTGACTATCTGTACCCATTTAAAGCTGAATTGATTGAAATTATGGGGAAAGCTGACTTATTCAGTACCCATTCACAGGACCGCCATTTGCTTGACTTTTAAACAAGAAAAGTGTCTAATGATGCCAATGTTTGACATTGTTAAGATGAGGGAGGGTTGTTGTGGTGTTTAGTGAGGTGTTGAAGCATGTTTTATATCTCTATTTCAGACGAAATGTCCAACTATTATAGAGTTTGATAATCATGAATATATATTCGAAGGTTTTTCTATTCTTTCTCATTATAAACTAGAAAAGGTACGACCTAACTTTTCATTAAATTTTTCTTTTTTGCAAGCTTGTATCTCAATGAATTTAACCGTATTTTTCCCTGATAGTCAGGCTCCACATATTAAAAATCCCTCGACAGTTGGAAATTTAAAACCCTAGCTGTTGACACTTTTCTGTCAGATTTTCTCTCATTTTTTGCATGCTTTGTCAATTGGGTCGTTATTCACGAACTTCAGATAATTTTGATTGTTGATTGTAGATTCCAATATGTCGAGTGATAAGGTTTAATATAGAATACACCATCCATTTTATAGAGGAACCCATGCCTGAGGTAAGATAGCCTATCCCCCAAAATAGAGGAATCTCACACACTCACTTTCAGTGATGCAGGTCGAAGGGGCTGATATGGAAAGAGCGTCTAGAACATGGCCGTTGGAAATTGAAAAAGAGTAGGCTAATGCTGCTGTAACTGCAATATTTCTTATTGCTCAGTAAATTATGTCCATTAGCCCAATCAGGTGCACAAAAGATTGATGTTGAAGTTTAGACTGTCGTCACTTCCATTCTCACTTTTATTTCAGAATTTCACAGTCCGATCTGTAGACTTGTTCACCCAGTATTTATTTAATGAGATATTAGAACTGATGGATATAGACTGGTTCGGTCCAGTAAAAAAACCTACCACAGCCTGCCATATCATGCATTTAATGCCTCGATTCTCACGCTCACTGCCAGGTACGTCTTTTATTGGAGTTTTTTTCTGGGGGTCCTAACAACTTTTAAACCACACCTTCATCTTTTAGAAGGGATGAAGTTGTTGCTTTTTCTCCAAGGGCCCATCTTTAAAATCATCCCCTCTTTTCAATGTATGGATGGGACTATGGTTCACTTTATTCAAATAGTTTCTTATAAAAGAGAAGGATTGACTGTGCCTATACGTCGTGTGAGTCCATTCAAAAGAAACCATATGTAGAAGTGTTTATATTGGCCAGATTACCATTCTGACTGGAGACAACTGGCACTAACTTGAAAATCAGCTGTTTGTATTAATCAACCACAACTGAACAATTACAGTTGCTTTTTCAACTCCCTTTCATTATATATTCCATTTTATTCTATTTTAGAAAATGGTAAGGAAGTCCTCTCAATGAATGAAGTCCTGTCATTCCTGATAAAAAGTGCCAAGACTCTGATAGAACCTAGCAGACTTCCAGGCTTGTTGGAACTCGATGCCAGCCAGTGGCAGGAGTTTATTGATATACACAGGGGCATGATAGTTATATACCCTGGTAAGGTAAGTCACAGGGACTCGATCAGTACTGTCATAGCCCAATCAGGTGTAGAAAAGTTAGACAAAGTTTCATTTCATTTTACTTTCCACTAAAACTCCCCTCATTGCATACTAATGGCATTGGTAATTTCTTTTTTCAGAGGCCATGTGCTATACGTATTGATCAACTTGACAGAAATCAACTGAACCCTGACGTTCAAACATTTCCTCTGATTATACACTTCGGTTCTCGTCCTGCTCAACTTAGTTACGTTGGTGATCCTGCGTAAGTATTACTAGATTGCTCGATACAAATCAGAAAGCTGTTATGTCAAAACATATGGTGTTGGTTGCTTGGTTACATTTTAACAAATGATCATTGTTGGTTCTAATCTCGGTCAGAGTGTGACCTTTAATTTCATCATCATTCTAGTTGATTAAAAATAGGTACTGATAATCTGGGAAAGATCAATGCCAAGAGATGTGACCAAGGACCAGCTGGTAGAATGGATACCTTGTGTACCTAAGTTAATGGTTAATGGTTGTATCTTTCTATAATTCCAGGTATCAGAGGCTATGGAAACAGTATATAAAGTTCCGTCATCTTCTGTCCAGTAAACCTAAAGTTTCAGCAGCAGACAAACTGAAACTTCATGCTAAAGAACAGGCTCTTCAAGAACTTAGAACTAAAAGGTAAGAAAAGTACACGTTAGGACTTTTATATCCATCACTAAACTCTCATATTGAGAAACTGACAAATACTAAGAAATGTGATCAAGTGGATAATCTCCGTGAGATTCTGAAGGCATGTTTTGCCTAATAGATCCTTTTTTCGCGTTTGTGCACTTCAGTGATTGATTATATTCTCCAAACGTCACGGAAAATATAGATGCTGCCAGTGACAAACTTGACCTTAAGTTATTGGCCCTCTAACCTCGACCTCAACTATGTGTCTGCAGAAAAGCAGGACGTAAAACTGTGCATTTCCACTATGTGACGTTAACCTCGGATTGTTTGTGATATATTTGAATCTGTTAACAGTACTATGAAGAGAGAAGTGACTATTGAAATTAGTTCTGAAGGTTTTATTTGTACTGGTTTGAAGTCTGATATCAGTCAGGTAAGTGCGAAGGGTTGAAATATAACATTGATTCTCGAAAGCACTGGCTGTCCCGTAGCCCATGTCATTTTGCCCTAGGCTATAAATATGTCCATGGAGAAATGAGAATTTGAAAGAGAGTCGTATTTATTAAAAAGAAAAAAAAGATAAAGAAACAACTATATTTTACAAAGATAACAACTTAGGTTCACAGTTAAGGACCCTGTCTACCAGCTGATCCATGATCAAATCTCTTGGCATTGTTAAACTCTTTCTTATTTGAATTGATATTTTTTAATTCCAGCATGCTATGTTAATACCAGTATTATTAGGACATCTGAGGTTTCATAAATGTTTATCAGAGCTAGAAAAGATTATAGATTATCAATTTAAAGATCGATATCTTCTTCAGGTAAATTTTTTTAATATTTTTTTCTCACTGTGACCTTGAACTTTGAAGAGGGACAGGCTGAGTTTAACAAAAGAGCACCACTGACCGGGCCAAATTTCCTTATTTGTTACTGCATAGTGTTGCCCATCTTGAATTGAATTTCTCAAGAGTTTTTCTGTGCCATTTGTCTGATAATAATTGTGGTTTTTTTTTCAGTTGGCGCTAACCCACACCTCATATCGTGTGAACTATGGCACCAACCCAGACCATGCCAGGAACACTCTAGCTAATGCTGGTAGAAGACAGGTGGAGTATGGCAGCAGGAAGGTTCTCATGCAGAATACCAGGAAAAGAGGTATGTTTTCAGGGAATAAAATGGGGTCAGGGACCATTTTCTCATTTTGATAGGAAGAACGAAATGCACTGTGTACTACAGGGTGTGCATATTAAAGATCCCTTGACAGTCCTTGACAAAAGAACAGAGTCTTGTCATGGCATATATTTTATATTTCAGGTTTGAATATTCTGATAGATATTATGTCCAGGATGGGAAAGTCCGAGGAATCGTTGTCTGATATTCCACATAATGAAAGACTGGAATTTCTTGGAGATGCTGTCGTAGAATTCTTATCAAGGTAGACTTGACAGTTAGAAATCAGAACATAATAATGCTCCTGTCCTTGTTAAACTTCCCTCATTGCACACTGCATGGCATCACCCTCCTTCGTTTGTCCAGTCAGGTGCAGAAAAGTAGGAGGTAAACCTCCATTTTATTCATCTCGGATGGGACAGTGAACTAAGACTACAATCAAATCATGTGATAGTTTCAATTGAGAAAGCAAGTCCCTGCTAATAAGGAAAGTTTGTATCTGTTCAGAAAATTAGGCTGTTCCGTCATATTTGCTCACTTTATTCCAGTGTTCATCTATTCTATATGTTTCCATGGTTAGAAGAGGGAGGACTGTCAACTTATAGAACAGCTATAGTTCAGAATCAGCATCTAGCTATTCTAGCCAAGAAACTGCGTCTGCAGGAATTTATGTTGTATGCCCACGGTCCAGATTTGTGTCATGAGTACGACTTGAGACACGCTATGGCCAATTGTTTTGAAGCTTTGATGGGTAAGTGTCTGTTTTCTCACTAGCTAGCAAAGAAAAATTATCACATTATCTGTACCCATTTACAGCTGGGTTGACTGGAATAATAAGGTAAGATTATTCATTTAAGGTCATCTGACATTCACTGATTCCGACTCAAATTAGAACCCATGACAACCATTTGTTCTTTGAAACCATGCAAATGATATCATGTAATTATTCTAATGCTCAAACAGACAGCACTACATCCTGTATTCAATGCTACCTTTCCTCGTTCAGAGCTCTGATAACATTTTCATTTCATTACTTAGGTGCTTTGTTTATTGATGGTGGTATTGAACTAGCAGATAGAATTTTCGGTACTACACTATTCGGGGAGAGCGAGAAACTCATAGCAACATGGCGAGATGTACCCCATCATCCTCTACAGGAAGATCAACCAGACGGAGATAGACAGTGGATTGAATCTAGTCACATTTTACAGGTACTATATAGTCACATTTGGAGCCGCGGTTCCTCAGTCAATTAGACGCTTGCTCCCTAACCTGAAGGGTTGAGATATTACCTTCAGGTACAGAGATACCTGTAGGTCAGAGGAGCTGATAGATGGAAAGGCCTCTTGTATTATGGATGAGACAATAAACCGAGGTTCAGTAAGCTACAGGTGCATCTTAAAGATCCCTTGACAGTTGGAAACTGAAAAAAGTAGGCTATAAAACAAAATTTTCCTCATTGTACACTCCAATATAAGTAAATGATTCTTTTTTTTTTTAAGAAAATCCAGAAGTTTGAATCATCTATAGGTGTTAAGTTTGATCATATTAGAATATTAGCCCGGGCTTTCACACCACGTAATGTGGGCTATACCAATCTTACATTGTAAGTATACTGTCTTTAGATACTGGATTATATCTGCCTCTGTTACTTCTGAAGTTGAAGATTTCACATCAGATTCATCTACAATTAAATCATAATTGACTCAGAGCCTTGCTTTCAAATACCTTAGACTGAAGATATTGCATGAGGTTCATCTACGAATAAATTAGACATGAAAGTTCATCAAAATTTGATATTTTGATGTCCCAGAGCTGTATTTAACTGAATTTTATTTATCTGTAATACTTCTGCAATTGTAGATATTGCAACAGGTTCTTCTACAAGTAAATTAGACAAGAAAGTTGACGTAAATTGGATCTAAATATGTCTCAGAGCTTCGAAAGTCTTGCAGCCTTAACTTCAGTAAGCTTATATCTTATGATGACCCCCCATAAAACTATCTTGTTATATTTCAGAGGTCACAACCAAAGACTAGAGTTTTTAGGGGATACAGTATTACAGCTGATAGCCTCAGAATATTTATTTAAACATTTTCCTGAACATCATGAAGGCCATCTTACTGTAAGTCTTAACTTTTCTACATTTCCAAAAAATAATGCTGCATTTTTGAAAACAATGACCCGACTTTGTCTTTTTTGGTTATATATTTTAATTCCAATCAGACCATTTTTTGCCTCATTTTAAAGGGACAGGTTCGCCGTCCGTTTGACCAAATATTTGAGATTAATTTATTAGTTTTCTAGGCACTTATCAATCCTTACTAATATTTTCAATTTATATTTCTAGTTATTACGTAGTTCTCTAGTGAACAATCGAACTCAGTCGATAGTTTGTGATGATCTAGGTATGACAGAATACGTTATTTATGATAGACATATCAGAGACCGGGGTCAGCTTAAAACCAAAGAGAAGGCAGATTTATTGGAAGGTAATTTGAATCATTAAAATTAATAGTAATATTGTAATTATTTAATCTCTGAAATATTTTGAGATGTCCAAATTTTTAAATCATTTGTAATTCAACATTTTTAACATTTTTAAAAGTTTTAAATTTTCTGATATCCCATTTATTTTTCACGTTATTTCAATAATTATATGTGCATTGATAAAAATATAATTCATTTAATTTTAAGTTATAAACTATATTATATTTTTGATATTTTCACCTTAAATTTCAGCGTTTATCGGAGCTTTGTATGTTGATAAAGATTTAGATTACGGCCGTGTTTTCTGTGAAGTTTGTTTCTTTCCTCGATTACAGGTCAGCCATTTTCAATCTATAATCAAGCAAATTCAAGAAGGAATCAATTTTTTTTATTCTATTCTTTTGATCGTTGGTTTTTAAACCAGAATCACAAGAGAAGTTTTGGGGCTAGAGAAAATCTTTTAACAATGGTTATTGCGAGATGAATAAAGACCCTAAAATTTTTATTTTTTCTGCAGGATTTTATATTAAATCAAGATTGGAACGATCCGAAGTCTCAGTTACAACAGTGTTGTTTAACGTTACGAGAATTAGACGGAGGAGAACCTGATATACCTATTTACAAGTACGTTATACAACTTTTATAATAAGCTTCTGATACCTTTTTCTGATAGATCTTAGAATAATCTATATTTTACAAGGACGACAACTTAGGTTCACAAGGATCCTTTCTACCAGCTGGTGCTTGGCCGAACCTCTTGGTGATAATTTTACAAGGATAACAACTTGAGGATCCTGTCTACCAGTTGGTCCATGGCCAAACCTCTTGGCATTTATCTATCCAGGATTATCTGTACCCATTTATCGCTAGATCTACTGTTGCAGAAACATTGCAGACTTACTGTATTGTCCATTATTTTCAGAGTGATAGAATCAAAAGGACCGACCAACACCAGGATGTATGTAGTCGCTGTCTATTTCCGAGGTGAAAGGTTAGCAACAGGTGAAGGTCACAGTATACAGCAGGCTGAGATGTCGGCTGCCACCAACGCCATGAATATTAGACAAGGTAGGCTTTTTGTTAATTGCGTTCGATTACTTAAGTCAAGATCTTTATATTGGAAAGTAAACATCCATTTCTAAAACTTGCTGACCTGATGAGGTTTGTGTATCTGAAACATCATGAATTGATCAATTCTTTTGTAAAGTTGATCTCCATTTCTAAACCTGATGAGGTGTGTATATTTTATTTACTCATATTTTTTTCAGAATTATTTCCCATTATTAATCACCAGAAGAGGTTTTTGGAGAATCGTTACCGTCATTTACTGAAGAGTCAGGAAGGCAAGGGAGGCGACTCTTCTAGTGAATCTTCGTCTCATTCCAAACATTCACGACATTCTAGAGGGCGACACAGTATTAGAGGTGGAAGGAGACACCAATCCAAGGCTCATTAGTCTTTTGGATAGCTCAAGCTTTGATTGGTCGATTGAATTGAATGCAATGTGAAAAAGGATAAAATATTTTGTGTATCCTAACTTTGGGATATCTCAACCTTTGATTGGTTGACAGAATTGATTGAAATATTGATAAGTGGTAGGCGAAATGAGGCTTTTCACATTCTCCAGTTATTACTGAATTATAGATTGGCCAATCAAAACTATTTATATTATTGAGTGATGTCACATGTTTTGTACCATTTATTCATTACACAGTGTTAACTGGAGTTGATTTAAAAACATCAGGAGCAATCCACTATATTTTTTTTAGGTAGTTTGAGTAGTCACTAATTCAATATAAGTCTGTCTTGTATAGTTTCTATTATTATTTATTCTACCTAAACAAAAAATGGACTGCGCATGTTTATGTTTTGTATGTCCATAAATATCTTTATAAGGTTTTACCCTAACGGTTGAATGAATTTTTGCCCTTTTTCTATTTTTGACTTGTAAGTATAATTTCGTGTAGTTTTTGTTTAAGTGCAATTGTCTATATTTTTTATAGAAATTCTAGTAGTGCTAATTTTTTCAATTTTTCTATTTGATTAAAATACTGGCCCTGTATTCTCGTAATGAGCTTAATGCAAGGATATTCTAGGTTCATAACTTATAACACTGTTTCTAGGATATCCCAGCGCTAAGATTGTTTCGAGAATACCTGTTCAGATGGTTTATTTGTGAATTTCAAACATCTGGAGGAAGAAATGAGACTAATTATCTAGAGCTGTATTTCAACCAGATTGCATGTTTTCTCACTTATAATTTAATCGAATTTTACAATAAAATAAAATGATGCACAGTTTTTTTGAGCATTCAATGGGCTTAAACAGACTTTTTGTCAAGTATTTTTCCTTGTAAACTTTTTTTTCTCTTACGTGATATAGTTGTCTTGAACAGCTGATAGAATATGAGGCGGAGTGACTTCTTGGGAAAACAGTTGTCAAGGTTGAGATTCAAAATGCAGCAATTCTGCAGAAGTGCCGTTATTGCAATCCTTCCATGGTGCGTCAAGAGTTCTCCCCACAAATGTTTTTTGAAAAGTACAATAGATCAGGGCATTCTGACACATGGAGAAAAGGCGTAAAAAGATACCCGTACAGGTGCCGCCACTGTTTCAGCTATCTGTTTAGTAATCTAAATATTTACTTTACCAGCAGAAGACAGAAAAAATATTTTGAAGCAGCTCTGACTACATTCTAACAAAATCAAATACTGCAACGATAAATTTTTTTATTTGTTCAATATAGGGAGTAAAAATTATCTTATTGTTTTAACTTGCTCTGTAATGTATCTAGAAAATCTTGTCAAAAAACTATTTAAATACAATCATTTATAAACAAAAGACAGAGTGTTTTCTTTAACAACCCCCTCAACTTTTCCCTCTCAGACAAGTTCTACACTGTAGGCCTAAGTTGTAAAATTTTAATGTTTTGAATGTGTGATGTTTTAAGCAGACAATAGAATGGTATAACAGATGATTCACTCATAAAAATACAAGCAAAAAGTAGGCTACTGAATAAATTACACCAAGAATGATTGCAATTTGAACCATTTCAACTTAAGACTTTTGTCCGATTTAGTTTTCGGCTATTTTGACTACGAAAAGCGCCGCCTCGAGATTTTTCTTTCATATTTCAGGCTAAATAAAGACAAATCATGGGTTAAAATCTATTTGCAAACCTCAAACATACTTCAAAGAATGTAATCCAATGCTCTGATTGCCATGACAGTGGTTTGATTTAGCTCTTTCCCCGCTAAACTGATTAACAATTATAACTTTTGTTTGCATTCCGCCATGTTTTTTTTAATTCCTACCGTCTGTGCTATTTGACATTCGAGACTAAAGTACAAGAATAATTTTGCTGCTTATTGGACAATCAAGGCTACGACCTCTGTGATTTACGGTCTAAGGGGGACAACTCCAATGAATGATGTCAAAAATCCAATGTTAGGTTTTCTTTTATAACGGTTTATCGTAATCAAAATTATGGCGAATTGGTGCAGAATAGGCTCTGTGACGACCCGAGTCAGTGTGTCTGTGAGGTCCCTAGCATAAAGTCAGACTGTTAAAGAAGGATTAAGTCGTCTCCAGTCCTGTCTATTGTTGGAATCGACGTTGAAAGGGAACTCAATAGAAGTAAAACTGCGTAGAAATAGGGGACTACAGATATGCCGTTTGAACATTCTCTGTGGTTAACCATTTTAATTCAGTCAGTGAGTGAATTAGACATGACTGGCCAAAAGAATATACCCCTTGATTGATTTTTCCGATTGATTTATGCATTCTTTGGCATATTCAGGGCCTTTGATTCAGCTACACTTGCCAGTCATTAAATTCTTTAGACCTAAAAAAAATTGTTTTTGTAAATATTCTGTTAATGTTTTTCCTGATTTTTAATCCTTCACCTTGTAATTATTTGAATAAATATTAATTTCTTTAATAAATAACATGTTTTTTTATTTATATATTTTAATCGCTGTTGGGCGTGATATTTTTTTTATAAAAAAATAAAAAATAACCTTGCTCGTGCCCCTGCACGAAGCTATTCCTATCGCTAGAAATTTTCACAATTTTTTCCATCATGTCCCAGTCTTTTGCCATGCAGTGTGCAATGAGGGAAATTTTGGTCATGACAGCGGCACCTTTCGATCGACGATCTCCAACATACGTGTTAGATAAAGTAGTGAAGTCAAATGATCAATGAATCTTGTCATGTCCTTGTGCATTTTAAAAGGTTGATAGTTTGAAGATATTAGGTAACAAAACCTGTTCATTATTTCACTCATCTAGACCCCACAAGTGCACTGACATCTCATACTGTATCATTGGAGACACGCTTCAACATATTCTCTAGAAAATCAACACAAAAATTGATAAAGAATAGACTTTAATTCACTTATTTTCACAATTTAATAAATGTAAACAATGAAATTTCAACACTGCCCGCCATATTTGTTTACAATGGAGACATGTTACGCATCGCCTCCGATATTTTGCAGTCGATTTTAGCATTTTCCATTTAATCCCTGGTCTCCATGTGGCTGTGGTTGTTCAGCATAATATTATTCTTGACCATGAATCATAATTTATTGTGTTTAATCCTCTATTTACAAAGAAAAGCCTATTTTAAAGCTTTTTTCCATAAGCTGTCGTTTAACGGTCTAAGGGAAAGAACTCTTGTAATAAATTCCAGTAGGAGTTGTCTGCCCATGATGATAGTCTTGATTGTCAAACTATCAAAGTTTAATAGACGTTTAAGTCTCGATTGTCACACAACGCAATATTCTTACAGGCAAAACCGCCCTTACGTCAATTCGACCCAGATGAGTAATTTTTCTTGAAACAACTAAATGGCGATATTTGGATAGTTTCTACTACATCTTAAGTCAACTAGAACAATGTTTCATGCCTGTTTTGTTGGAAAACCAAAGAATTTAAAAGAATTAGTAATTTTTTGTTGATGACTTGTACGAATTGCCTAAGAGGTCGAAATGACCCTTGAAATACCTTTATTAACTCCTATAATGAGAGCTAGCAACAGGAAAAGATCACTCAGTCCATACTAAACCGACATCAGACTACAGTTAACTAACAAATTAATCCATTTTTACTCTATTATCCTTAATAAAGAGAAAACTAACAAATCTACCACAAATTACGATCTTTTTATATGAAACTAAATTAAAGAGCTGTCCATTGTTAAACTGAAGTAGCATAAAGTCTACTAGAATCATTGCTTAAGTGTAGAGTCTTGATTTGTTTACAAATATTTTTGAAATAAGTAGCAACTAAGTCAAACATGACTGGCAATAAGATTATACACATCCCTAAACTACTGTTTCATTTTGTGGAGATTGAGGCTCCTTTTCTAAGGAAGAATTCAAATCATTCTGTTGGGTTTTTTTTAACCAAAAGAAGATAAATTTTAGGCATTATTTTTTTTTGTCTTCATCATTTTGTATTGGGTGTGCAGAAAATACGAGAAGCCAGTTTGTTTGGATTTTAAATTCTGCATTGTGGTTGAATAAATTTGATTTATAATTTTGGAGTGTTTACGTCTTACATTTCTGCACCTGCTAACATTCTGTGCACGTTAAAGGTCTTTCGACAGTTGGATATCGAAAAAAATTAGACTTATGCTGCTGTCCTGGCAAAATTTCCCTCATTGTACACACAGCATGCCTTTGTCTGTCTTCATTAGTCCTATTAGTTGAAGAGGAGTAGAACGTTAAGCTCCATTCATTTTATTTTATCATGTACAATGAAGACAGGCTATGCCATGCAGTGTGCAATAAGGGAAATTTTTCCAGAATGTCAGCATAAACCTAATTTCTTTTTTGAGTTTTTGAGGGATCTTCAGCTAAACAGCCTGTAGCACACAGGGCCTTGGCTTATTGTTCTATTCGAAGGACTTTTTCAATGTCAGCCCCTCCAACCTTCATCAAAGACAAGGGGGATAGGAGGGTGGAGGAAACCGGGTTGAAAAATCTGAAGGTATAGCTATATATATACTATGCCAGGCTGGAAACCTGCTTCTTCAAATAAACAAGCAAGCAAGAAACATAATGTTTCTGTGAAATTTAGAGCTTGATTAATTTGTCTAGTAAGGAAATCCAGAGTGTTGGTCATTTGGAGAGCAGATAACAAGGTCTATCAGCTGTTCAATTATTGAATTAGGCTCAGAATCCCATATAAATAATATTATTAAATTTCTGTAAGAATTTAAGTCATAAAGAAATTCTTGTAATCTGAATAATTTCTTAATTTGAAATCCCTTTCTCTCAAATATATTTTAAAGTTGTGGGAGAATTTCTGACTTCTAACAAGCTGACATCTGAAGCCAGAGAAATGTCAGCAAGTATTTGAGCTCTCATTTATCTGTAAGGGCAAAATAGGATTGCTGTAAATTCAAGTCCCATCTCAAAGCAATCTGAAACAATGATTTTGGCTTCCTTTTCTTCCATCTGCAGCAGAGGTGTCATACAATGGCTCAGTGAGTTAAATATTTGCTCACTAACCAGAAGGTCCCGGGTTCAGTCTCTGCATAGGTCTGCAGGTCAGAGAGGCAGACATGGAAAAAGAGTCTTGTCGTGCATATGGGACAATAAACTGAGGCCCTGTGTTCTACAGGCTGTGCATGTAGAAGTTACCTTCTGCAACTACTTTGGCTAATGAAGATGGACAATGCCATCCAGTGTGCATGATGAAAATTTTGCCAGGTGGCATGAGCCTGCTCTTTTCAGTTTTCCAACTGTCAAGGGATCTTTATAACGTGCACAGCCAGAAGCGCACAGGGTCTTGGTTTAACTAGAGATCAGCAGACGAATGTGTTAAATAAAGGAGTGAAGCCAAAGGAACAATGAATTTTGTCATTTACTGTGATAGAAGAATTCATGGGTGTCATTGTATTGTCTCATTGTAAATAATAGAATAACCCAACCTATCACCCCTCTAAACTATAGTGTTGTAATAGACTACTCCAAGAATATATTGCCATGCACTAAATCTCTTTACGCCTCTCTCTCCTACATCAGTCAACGATTACCATCAAAACCATTATATTCTGCATTCTATAAGTTTGATGGTTTAAAAGACATTAGCCTAATTATTAGGTAACAACCTGCTCATTATTTTACTTATTTAGACCCCACAGTGCACTGACATCTCATACTGTATCATTGGAGACACACTTCAACATATTCTCTAAATAATCAACACAAAATCTGATAAAGAATAGACTTTAATTCACTTATTTTCACAATTTAATAAATGTAAACAATGAAATTTCAACACTGCCCGCCATATTTGTTTACAATGGAGACATGTTACGCATCGCCTCCGATATTTTGCAGTCGATTTTGGCATTTTCCATTTAATCCCTGGTCTCCATATAGCTGTGGTTGTTCAGTATAATATTATTCTTGACCATGAATCATAATTTATTGTGTTTAATCCTCTATTTTCATAGAAAACCCTATTTTAAAGCTTTTTTCCATAAGCTGTCATTTAACGGTCTAAGGGAAAGAACTCTTGTAATAAATTCCAGTAGGAGTTGTCTGCCCATGATAATAGTCTTGATTGTCAAACTATCATAGCTTAATAGACGTTCAAGTCTCGATTGTCACACAACGCAATATTCTTACAGGCAAAACCGCCCTTACGTCAATTCGACCCAGATGAGTAATTTTTCTTGAAACAACTAAATGGC